ATCCTTTTTCAATCAGTTCCTCATCATCTGCCCTACACTAATACATAGTTATCTACATCAAAATTTCCCCAGTCAAGTGGATATTTCAGTTAATCAGTTTCAGGTATGGGGGACGAGATGAAACTTAAAGGTTAAAGGTCATCAAAACAATTAACTCATAGGTGATAGTAACAATATATTTAAGTTTTGAAGGAGGAGTGAAAATTAATTACAGAATTCAAGGTAAGTTAATTCTTAGGCGTTGACAACAAGTTATCACATAATCAAAAAATTTGTAAAATAGCAATGATGAATAAGAAGAATAGAATGACTCAGAAGAGTGACGTAAACTACAAACAAGTTAATAGAATTAGCTAGAACTGTAAAAAAATAGTGAGAAAGTCAAAAGGTAGTTACAAGGGGAGGGAAAAAATTCGTTTTTAAACACTAAGTGCATCTTATGTAGTTGCCGTGGCAAATGAAGGGGCTGTACACATTTCTTTTCAACACACAGATTTGGCTGGTCCAGATGACTTCTGATTACCTCTGCAGTATGTAAAAGTCGTAATCATAGACAATGCAGAGGTTGGGTGATATACAATAAATAACTTTAAGAGCTTTTTTAGAGTCGATTTGAAGTCCAGTACCAGCGAGATGAGCTAGTATTTAGTTGGGTATAGCTTTATTCGAGTCTTTATCAAACTTAGATGGAAGGTGTTCAGAAATTCAACGTCTGAGAAGGGCCTTCAAAAAGACTTTCTACATAGCTAAGCTATACTGCATGTGCATCGGCGGCACAACGGTAGAATGCTTGCCAACCACACATGTGGTCCCAGGTTCGACCCTCAGCGGACGCACTCCTTCGCCTCACTAAGCCAGTGACATGGCTCAAAATCGTTGTCAATGGCCAGCGCAGATGTATTCAGTCTCTGTAATCTTTCATATTCCTTTTTACCATTACCCATTCTGTTTCACTCTTATACTTGTCAAACTCTATTGATTCTCTTCACTCATCTTCTTGTCTGCTTTTGTGTGCTATTTGGAACGTGGCAACTTGAACTGCTGCACTTCGGTGCCAAGTTCTATGTTGAATCCAGACAGACAAACAGAAGCCAGTAATAAGACTAGTAAACATAGGGGGGGGGTTGGGCATGAGACTACCAACCCCACCCACTGAAAATAAGCACCGCTGCTACCGAAACTTCAAGCCTTTAGCTTGAAGCCCAGCACCCTACTGAGACCGCAAAGGAATAAAAATAAATATATAAAATATACTGTATATTCATTAAGCCATCAACACTTATCTCAAGAAATAAGTCGAACTGCTCTCTTTCGCCTCTTTCACGTGTATTTGCCAGTTTAACTGTTAGTACGGAGCAAGGTATATTGGTTCTTTGATCAGCCAAGTTCATCATCGCTTTTTTCAACACCTCACGTCTTGGTTTGGCAAAGACCTGAATAAAGCTATACCCAACTAAATACTAGCTCATCTCGCTGGTACTGGACTTCAAATCGACTCTAAAAAAAGCTCTTAAAGTTATTTATTGTATATCACCCAACCTCTGCATTGTCTATGATTACGACTTTTACATACTGCAGAGGTAATCAGAAGTCATCTGGACCAGCCAAATCTGTGTGTTGAAAAGAAATGTGTACAGCCCCTTCATTTGCCACGGCAACTACATAAGATGCACTTAGTGTTTAAAAACGAATTTTTTCCCTCCCCTTGTAACTACCTTTTGACTTTCTCACTATTTTTTTTACAGTTCTAGCTAATTCTATTAACTTGTTTGTAGTTTACGTCACTCTTCTGAGTCATTCTATTCTTCTTATTCATCATTGCTATTTTACAAATTTTTTGATTATGTAATAACTTATTGCTAATGCATAAGAATTAACTTATCTTGAATTCTGTAATTAATTTTCACTCCTCCTTCAAAACTTAAATATCTTGTTGTGATGACCTTTAACCTCTTAATTTCACTTGACTGGTAAAACGTTTTGATGTAGAAAACTGTATATTAGTGTATAGCCAATGATTAGGCACTAATTGGAAAGGAATGTATATTTCTTCACTCAGCCTGGTGTCTCTTCTGTATGTAATTTTAATTGACAACAAAGGTCAGAGGTTACTGTTAGTTAGTAACAAGATATAAAGCAAATCGTATGAATAATAACAATGTATGAAAGATAGTAAATAATCTTACGCAATCGAGATAGTGGAGAAGTAATTCATTAAGTGTTCCATAGGAAAGAAGAGGATGGACGGTTGAAAATTGATTTGCAAAATTAAAGTATGAAACAACTCAGGAACATAAAAATGGACAGCCAAAGTGACAGTAGTGAATAAGGCTGGATAAAAATGTTTCTGAACACAAAACTTTGGCAACCCTTTGTTCTATTGTTTGAAGTCAATTATTTCAAAACAAGCATTTGTAAGATAACTAATTAGCTGTCAACCATTTCGAATACGTAAAATTATTCATTCGTTTTTACACGTTGTTATTTCTCATGCACTTTGATTTATATTTTGTTACTAAATGACAATAACCTCTGAACTTTGTTGTCAATTAAAATTTTACACATTAACCCTTAGATAATTAATTGTACAGCTTTGATGAGAATTTAATCAAAAAGATATCTTTATTCGACCTAAGTCACACGGAAATTTTTCATACTATGAAGAATTATGCAAATTGCAAATTACCATGCATTAACTCTGAGGTCAGTTACAGAGGTCAAAATACAGATCAGGGTCACTTGGGTTGTCGTAACATTAAAATTTAGCTGGATCTAGAATGACTAACCGTGGTTAGTTAAATAATCTTGTAATGCATCCTCTGCAGGTAATTGCATAAAGGTAGAAGTAATAAAAAGTAATGCTGTCAGGTGGACAGAGGTTAATCACAGGATGTTCATTTATCGAATTAACAAAGAATAAGATCAAAACTCTGAGTAGTGATTCTGTTAGAAACTCAAACAAAAATATTCCAGTTTAAAGACTTAAGTATACTAATGTGTTTTTCCAATAGGTATAATGATATATAGCTCATTTGAAAATACGAAATATTTGTAAGACTTCAGAAGTTATGAAATATAATTAAAAAATCCTAAGGACGAATCGATATTTCCAACTCTCTGATGACATGGGTTAACTGCCAAAAGTACTGAATTATACTATACAGAAATCTAAGTATTTGTCATTTTTCCATTACTATAACCTTGGGGACTTAAAATAGTATTTTAATAATTAGATTTATGTAAATCACCCTATATCGAACTGAAAATCTGTTGTTTAGAAACCAAATGGTTACTGATGAGAGGTTCACTTCTAAGTTAAGAATTTACATCTTCATCAGGCAACGATTACCTTCAAGAATGATTTGTAATATAATACCTCCTATACAAGAATGGGTTGTCAAGACTAAATGGTTTAGAAGATGACACTTTAGTGTCTGAAAGTATTGGTGATGAATTCGAATCTCAACAGAAGAGGCAACGACCATATCTATGCAAATACAACTAGCCTTTATAATACTTAGGTAGTACATATTTTTATGTGTAAATTAGTAATTGTAACAAGTATCATAGGAAGAACTAAAAGACGGTTGCAACGAAGAAAATTTTCTTTTCGACGAAGTCATCAACTGATATGAGCATCCGCGTATTTATAGTGAATGAGTGGGTAAGTTCCAGAACTATTTCCGGTGGAGAGTCATACTGATGAGGTTGCGAATAAGGAATAAAATGCAGTAAGAATAAAACAGTAGGATCATAATTATTGAGAAAATTCAACCTTTGTTTAATTAGGAATTAAATAGCGAAAATAACCAGAAAGTCTGAAGAAGAAAAGTTATAGGGTGATTATATGCGAGCCCGAATAGCTCAGTGGTAACGTCTGTGACTTATTGCAATATTGGGTGATGCGGGTACGAATCTCAAAAGGGAAAAGAGCCCCTTCAAGATCGGAGATAGGCTTTCAGCGTTGGTGGTCTAGCGGTAGAATGCTCGCCAACCACACACGTGGTCCAGGGTTCAATTCCCGACCGACGCACTCCTAAACCTCGCTAAGCTGGTAGAAAGGCCAGTAAAGAGGGAAGGTTGGAGGTGAGGCTAGTAACCCAACTCCATAAAAATGAAGCCACTACTGCTGAAATCTCAAAGCTCTAATTTCAGGCCCTATGTTGCAATCTCAACCTAATGGAATTATATATATATATATATATATAATTTTTTATTACATCTTGATTCCACACCGTATTTTTGGTACAAGTATGGAATTTTCAGCGTGGACATCGGTGGCCGAAAATTCGCAGGCCGACCATAGATGTCAGGTGTGCGTCGGCGAGGGCTCGAACCCCGGACCATGTGCATGGTCGGCGAGAGTCCTAACCAGCCATGGTAAAGACAACGGTTGAATGTATTTCTTTTGAATACATTGCGTGCGACTGAAATTTTGGATGTTTATTGTCTCAGGTGTGCTAATATATCTTAATCTCACTCCCTTTAAGAGGCTGGATGGGGTCGTGTATGGAACTTTAAAGGACTTTTCAGATGCAGCTGAATGTCCCGATTTTACCTGTCCTGCTACGGAGTTACATACACACCTACATCCTCCCTTTGCCAGTCACTCTGGATAGTGTTCCAGTGTATCAGTGTACCTATATCCCAGAAAATAAAAGTATTCTGATAAGTAGAGGCGAAACGCTGACTTACGTTCAAATTTTCAAATTTTATATGCCAAATGTACCTTACCAATGATATTTTGTTTTGTAAGGATCATCATTCACAGGTTTGATAGAAAATTTATCACCTAGTACACATAAACACTAGTTTTTAATATAATTTATGTGTGTGTGTGGAAATTTTGCTGTCCAAGGAGATAACTAAATGTTTGAAACCATAAGAAATGGAGAGAACTTGATGGATTGTGTGAGATGGGAATTCAGATAACCCAGTGACTCAAGCAGGCCGCCAAAAATGTCAGAAACCATATATTTAATGAAACTTTGGAAACTTACGTTTTTCATATGACTGCATATCATATGCCCCAGAACCGATTTCAGGATTCTAAAATAAAATGGAAAAAAGAAAATTTTACAAGTTAATGTTATTTGATTTATACATTAACCTACCTGAAAAATATGCTGGAAATACTCCGGCAACAAAGTTGTTGATAAAATTTCTCCTAGTAGTGACATGTTAAGTTTGGCGTCTATTTGTTGTATGATGGAAACGAACTGCGATAGTGCAATTAGCAGTGATAAGACCGTCTATTCTGACTGCACCGTAAACCTTTTTAAACTCTAATATCGTGTTTAAGGCATAAAAATGAAATACAGTACTTATTTTGACCTCTGGGCATACAAGGATTATTGTTTAGCATAGTTAAGTCTTGTAGTCGATATTCTCTTAATTAACATAGATTTTTTTCAAACAGCTCTATGCTGTCATTCGTAGTTTAGATCGTAAACATTGTAACCAGAATCTGGTTGTTTTGAATTGATTAAAACCCTTCACCTAAGTGGACTTAATTACTCCACTGATTAGCCTGACGTTTAAGGAACTGTATGTCCCTCTAGGTCATCTAGATCATCTCCCTCTAGTTGGCACATACTGAAGTGAGTGCGTTCTAACTACTCACAGAAATCAGTAGTATACACAGTATTGTACTGACTTTAAGTTTCTTTAGAAATTTACAGGTTCAACAGCAAAGTCATAATAAAGACCAGGTCACGGAAAAAGCTTTACAAATTTCGTTAGTCAAAATTAGTCTTAAGATTTGAATGTTAGAACCAGGTTATTGTTAAGACCTACCATATTGGATAATTCTGATGTTGAGAAGAATCGATGTATTGTTCGTATTGGATACCAATAAGCAACGTCTAACAGATCAGCTACACTGAGATCAATTACAATCTGAAAAAGAAGATTGAGTTCATTTTTATTCAAATATCCAAGAAAATGCTATCTTATTCAGAAGTATGACTCAAGAAGGTCTACAACGTACAGGGTTAAACGTATTTCGATGAATAATAGGAGTTTATATGTATGCAAATCTACAAATATCTTCCCTAGCAGAAGTTAATTCCCACTGATGATAAATGACTACAAATTACAACACTTGCAGCCCTCATCATTCACTATGAAAGACTGTATTTTTTAATACTGTGATGAGATTCAAAGTTTTGTATTTCCTGCCGACTGTTTACTTTGGACCGAAATACTGGGCCTTTTTTAGAATTTAGGATGCGCTCTTCGTCTCATTTAGGGAGTTGTCAGGTGGATGTGCCCTCATACTCAGTGAGTGATCACATTTCCACTTAGGGAATTCTTAGCAAGCCACCATAGGTCAAATGACATCATACTAATCTTCAAATATTTTCACAGCGTCTGTATTGAGAAGCAACATGTAAAGAGACGTCTGTAGTTTGTCAAAGAGATTCGTAGATTCAGTGGTTCTTCAGTCATTTTTGTTTATCTGTACTGATGGAGCTTAAAGAAGACACAATGTGGACAGATGGATTTTTAAGGGACTAGAGGGTGGTTGCTGCGTTTTGGTGTGATTCTGTATCCAGTGTTAGGTGGGTTAGGCTTTAGACTCAACCAGATGCATGACCATACTCTAGTTCTAGTTGGACGATTGGCCACACAGCATTCATAAGCTAACAAAAAACGGCCTTGAAGTCGTCCAGGTAGCGTAACTAGCTGACTTTCCAAACGCTGGACATTTCGGTCCAGTATAAACAATGAATGATAAAAATAAAATTAGCTACAACAAATAACAAATGATATTCATTTTGGAAGAGGTGGTTCTCATGCCCTAATGACCTTGAAGATAATGCTTGGGTATTTTGAATGATGGATGCTTGATTCGATTTTGGACAGAAACACTGTCACTTATTGGAGATGCAGGCACAGCCGGTTGACGAATTCCAAATAGGACGAGCTGCGCATTGCGAATTCTATTGTTAGAGATCAAGAGCCAAAAAATAATGGTAAAATACTTTGAGACACTGTTAGATATGTATAAGTAAATCAGTGGCAGATGAAAATTAGAATATTTTGTTCGTTAGAAAAAAAAAGTAGGTTATTCAGTAGCTTTCAATTTTCATAAAGCTTGTTCTAATCACAAAATGATAGCTTATATTGACTGGGAGATTCCGAACCTAGATTCTGTGTCCATAGATGCTGACCAATAGAAATAAGGTCTCATAGGGATTTTTACAGGAGTTACTCAGTGCTGCAGTCAGAGATGTTACTGATAAGGTAATAGCATCTAAACACTCCTCGCTGAAAAGTGTCATCAATCATAAAAGTGAAGTCGAAGATTTTCAATTCTTTGCTTTGACTCACCAGATTCCAATCAAAAGTCCACAATAGTGCAGAGTCTCTTAGCTTAATAAACAAACACACTATAAGCTAAATAGAACAGCAAATTTAATTAGCGAAGCTTTGATCGCAAATTGAAGTATGCGCTGAAGATGTCACCTAGTAGGGTGATGAAAGATCAGCAAATTAGACTACTGCTAACTGACTGGCCCCTTCAATAAATGGTTGCTGGACAATTGTCATCGTTAGTCAGAGGAATAATTTGATCGAAAGTCCATAGTTTTATTTACTAAATTGGAAAGTTTATTTTTTAAACCTTCAGTAATACAGCGAGGCGTTTAGAGTAAACACAGGAGTCAGACAAGGGTGCTTACTATCGCCAATGATATTCCTAATTGTGGTGGACTGGATTATGCGTCAGACTGTGGGAAACGAGAAGACAGGAATATCCTGGACTGACGTGAAGAACCTAGAAGACCTGGAATTCGCGCGTGGATGATTTGTGTTTGATGTCACATACAATCGAAGACTTACAAGCGAAAACTGACAAACTGGTCGAAGAAGCAGCCGGCGAAGACAGAACCCCAGGTGAACATAGACAAGACGGAGGTTATGAAAATAACCAACCAACAACAGCAACAACATCCAACGCCAATCACCATCAACGGGAGGGATTTGAAAGAGGTTACTTCATTCACTTATGTAGGGAGCATTGTCTCAACTAAAGGAGGAACGAACGAGGATGTCAAATCGAGCGAGAATCGGGAAGGCAGGCGAGAAACACATTCATCAACTTGAAACCAATCTGGGAATCTTCGTCACTCAGCCAGCATCAACAATAAAATTCGGTCGGATTTTCAATACAAACGTCAAGTCAGTCAGTTCTTCTATACGGATCAGAAACTTGGCGGGTCCCAAAGAATATTTCCGAAAGGCTGCAGACCTTTATTAACAACTGTCTTCGCTGGATCTATACTGAAGATCAGATGGCCGGCCGGGCCGGAAAGAATCACCAACAAGGAATTTTGGGAACAAACAAAGCAAGAACCAATCGCCCAACAAATATGCAGGAGAAAGTGGAGATGGATCGGACACTCGCTGAGGAGACCGCTGGGTGACATCGCGCGTCAGGCCATTACTCGAGTGGAAGCCGAAAGGGAAGCGGCGTGTGGGACGTCCAAGGGTGACATGGAGGAGATCGTGTGAAGAGGAGTTGAAAGAATATGGATTAACATGGATGCAGGCGAAAAGTATAGCAGAAGACAGAGGAAAATGGAGACGTGCAGTTGAAGCCCTATGTTCCACTAGGAACCCAAGGGAGCAATAATAATATTATAATAATACAGCAAAATAAAAGCTGATATAAAATCAAGAATTATGAGATTACAGAGGTATGTATACGATTACTAAAGACAGCCTAATCAGTGTGCTTTCAGATAGATTAAAACATGTCACTTTAGAATATGAAGGCTATATGTTTAGCTCTTAAACAATGATAGCGTCTATTCAACTTGATTAATTGATAATTTTTACAGATTCATGGATAATTACCATCCAGGCATTAATGAAGAGTCGCTTTTCGGCGAATTTATTTTCTTAGCTGTACAATCGCAAATATTTTGTATGTTTATGTACATTAAGTTTGTCAAACAAAAATATGATTGATTAAGGTTATTTTAACTAAACAGGTGACGATTGATAATTGGAGTTACGTAATAGAAAATTAGTCGAGAAAATTAGGTGTTAATGAAATTAGGGTAGTAACAAAGGTGATGAGTTGTCACAAATATGAATAGTTTGATGAGTGAGTTTTACTCAGGATACACATAGAAACAAAGTAGATAATATGAAATTACGTAAGAGTTCTTAATGAATACAAGAATTATAAGCAATTAAAGAACAGGCAAAGAAACAAAATTAAGTCGTCAAAATCAAAATTATCACCTTCGATTCGTCTTTAAAATTATTTCTCCAGTTATCAAATATTAATTTTTTTACATACGTTGTAACTATTTTCTAATCCTATGAAATCTTGTCTCTAAGCCTCTTGTAATCTATATTCGTACCTTCAAACTATTATATCAAGTTGAAAATTATTATCACCTTCGTTACTATGTGGAATTAAACAAATAGTAATTGTATCCATATAAACTAGTCTATATAAATGCGATTGTACAGGTGCTTTTGAGAATGAAATCGCCGAAAAGATCGCCATCTTTGCTGAACTTCGTGTTCTCTTCTTTCTAATCTTCTTTTGTATGCAGAGATCCGGTGAAAATTTTAACTTCATTTTTCAGGAAGATGTTTATACGTATCCATTAAAAGCTCATTAAATATTACACTTACTCATAAGATAACATTCATTTTTCATTTTTAAATGATTTACCAGTTACTGCTTAAGAGAATGAGTTAAATGAACCGCCTCTAATACATAGCTGTTTGTATTGGTGACTCCAACAACAAATGTATTGAGCTTACCTTATTCATCCTATGCTCATTTTAGTAATTATAGGAACATAAATGATGCTCAGAAGGACTTCATCTGCTTTTGAAAGTGTGAAGTACAGTGTGGCAACTCGAACTGCTGCACATCTGTTCAAATTTCTACGTTGAAACTACTCAGTCAGTCAGTTAGGAACATAAATACGAAAAGATTGTAGGTAGTAATTAAATAATAGAATCCCAGAGGAGATGAAACACATTTTTTAGAAATCCATACCTCATATCTCAATTAGAGGTAATTCAAATGCCCTCATTTTTTAAATTGTAATCCATTTAACCTTATCAGTATAATTATCTAAGTGAAAGCCTTACTTTTAAAAAGCGCGGGAAAAAACATCTACTAAGTTAACTTCTTAGGATTAGAAGAATATACGATACATAGTTTTTTTTTACCAAGATGGCGATATTATTGATTTTTATGAGATAATTATCTAAATTTATATGCTTTTCAGTTAAGAAATATTGGTGTAAATCCAATTTATGCATAGTAGATCATTTTGATTATAACATCCCGTAATTTCAATTATCTACAAAACAAGAGTTAAGCATTCAGAAAAACTCGCCCAAAAAACAACACATTTATAAGTTGTAAATGATCCTCAATGGTCCTACCTCGCCAATTTTATACTGTTCATCTGTACTGTCTCCACAGCTCCATATTATAATCTCTAAGTGATGACTATTCAAATCATTATCTGTAAAATTTGTAAAACGAAAGGCTTGATTCCATATAGGGTTGATGCTGCCGCTGACTACCTTTGTACACCGAGAATTGTATTCCCTGTATAGTGAAAAATATATACAACAAAATATGTATAACTGAAAGTATATTATATTTGCAAACTATAATTATCTATTAGCTAACACCGGAGTTCAATGATTTATCAGAATTTACTTTATTTTTCTTCTGTCACAAACTATTCATTACTAAAATCTCCTTCTTTGCACTAACTTTCAACTAAACAATTAACTAAGGTAGTATTGATCATTTTTCATGGTTTATTTCAACAGAAATCAAAATCATCTTGAAGAAACACTGAAACCCAAGCGTGACTAGCTACCTATTTTGTTTTATATTGCGATAGATCGATTATTACCCACCACAGAGGAAAATGAGGTTCATCAGTACGTTACGTGTGTAGATTCATATTTACTCAGTGAACCAACAATTTTAACCATTTGTAATTTTCGCTTTAGTTCCCAGAGGAACATAGGGCTTCAACCGAACATCTCCCCTGTGTTCTGTTCTTTGCCAACGTTTTCATCTGGCTCTGCGTCTATGCACATGCTTTCATCTCCTCTTCACATGACCTCCTCCATGTCACCCCGCCCTCACATTGACGACCAACTCGCTGCTTCCCATTCGGGTTCCACTCGAGCAGCGGCCTAGCGTGTGGTGTCACTTGATGGCTTGTTTTCTCAGAGTATGACCAATCCACCTGCATTTCTTCCTGCATATTTATTGCACAGTTCATTCCTGCTGTTTTGGTTCGCTCCCAGAGATCCCTCACTGTTGCTGATCTTTTCTGGCCATCTGATCTTGAGTATTGAGTGAAGACAGAAGTTTACAAAGGTCCGTAGTTTGTTTGAAGTGACCTTTGTAACGTGTCAAGTCTCTGTTCCGTATAGTAGCACTCACTTCACATTGGATTTAAAAATCCGGATCTTATTTTTCATTCTCAGTGCTGTTGATCTCCCTTACCATGAATCATTCAACTGAAACATCAATGAATAACTGCATATTTTTAAAAGTTTTCCTTATCAGAAATTGAAGAATTTTATGGAAATGTGACAAATAGAATAAGCCTATGAAATATGTTGGCGGAAACTTAAATCTGCGAAAGTAGTTCTACTGTGAAGATATCCGGAAATCAGGATCACCTAGATTAATATTTGCCAGATGGTTCATCTGCTTAGCCACTCGATTTTCAGCCAACAGATTTCAGCGTTGTCTTAGCTTACTTACTTCACCTTGGAACAGATGATGAATGGTTTCATCAATCCTTACACAATATATGTGGTACATGAGAAAAATGTATTCGGTAAAAATGAGTTCGATAACTATGACAACTTGGATATAATAAGGTTTGCTTCTGTGAATTTTTATTCCAAAATAGTTGTAAATGAATATTAGAACAAATTCATATGCGTGTCATATGCAATATAGTTAAACACAAATTTGATATTAGTTGTGACAATATGCCCGAGCATGCTTCGAGTTACTTGCATCTGATAGGTGCGAAAACTTTCAATAGTGCAATAGCATGTTACTTGATAAATATTAACTACGACATCGAGACTTTAACATAATTTAAGGCAACTGACGTAGAAGTTAGTTTCAGTCTACTACCTGTCTTTGAGGTAGTGGCAGTTTAACGGTTAAAACACAACTTCCAGATTTCTCACTTAGAACTACAATAAACTCTATGTAATTTCTTTTTATTTTATTGTAGTAATCCAACCTACCCTTTTTACCGGGATTACTATCAGCTGATCGAGGTTTAGGAGTGCGTTGGCCGGGAATTGAACCCTGGGCCAGTTGGCTTGGTTGACCAGTGTCCTACCACCTACGTACAAGGTTGGCATCACTTAACTAATTAGTCATCAACCCTCTCGATTTTGTAAAATTATTAACTGCCTCTCAGCCATTGTTATTTCTCATACACTTTGATTTATGTCTTGTTATCAAATGACAATAACCTCTGACCCATCTTGTCAATTAACAGTGTATATATAAACCCTCTTAAACTATTACGTAACACCAGCTATTAATTTTTACTCTTGTAATTAATGTCCAGCTCCCGTTCTGAACTACAGAATATATGGATGTAGCTTTTCTTCATTCTCAAGAGTTCACTTGTAGGGATCTGATTAGCTTTTTAAGTTTGACCATGGACTGATATCAGTTTGAGAAGTATTGAAAACCAACTAAGAGTACTCCACAGCTGTTTTGTCCTATTTCGGAACTCATCAACACTACGTACAAAATGTTTCTCACTGTGTACAGAATTCTAGGCGTAATTTATTGCATAATATTTTCACCTCACCCAAGATCTTCAAGTAAAGTAGCAGTCTATAATATATCACTTGGCGTAAAGTTTTCAGCTCTGAAGCATAGACTAATCTCTTATGATACTTTCCCTTCGCCTCTACGAAATGCCCTCTGGTAGTTAGAAAGCCAATCAAAAATGTGTATGAGTACATTTTACGACTTAAGAACATAACTGAATGGTCAAAAGAATAAGAATTACAGAAAATATGATGCGTTGTGTTAGGCAGTTAAGTGATTCAAGCAGGCCGCCAAGCAGCAATCATAAAGAAACTATGAAATTATATCATCTCACAGTATTTGTCTCCTTAATGTCTTATTTAAATTAATAATCAAGGGGGAACTGACTGTTTCAATATTCAAAACAATAATTTAAATATAATTATCATCATTACTATCATAATCATCATTATCGTCTTACTCTTGTTCTGGAAGAAGGCACAAACTACAATAATAGGTACAAGGAACCCTGGAAGATTGATTAATAATTGGTAGATTTCGAGCGGCTAATATATTGATAATTAATTGACATTTGATTTCATCGTAGAATAATTTGAGCTGAAATAATATTAAAAGAAAAAACAATATGTGTCAACGCTATCAGTATTGACAGAAAAAGACAAATAACAAAAAATAATTTAAAGCATTTACCGAAATAGAGATTCTCTCTACTTGAGTCTCATCGATCTGTACGCAGACATACTAAAATATGTATAAAACTTGGGCACTTCAGTAGTATGTATTATTATCCTTATTAATTGGTGAAACAGTAGTATATATTGGATAACAAGGTTTAGAACACAGTTTATTGTTCATTATTATTTTCTCCTATAGTTGGTTTGTAAGGACACTTTTTGTATTCACGACGTGATCACTGATTGATAGCAGTTAGAGAAGCATTAAAAACCCATTAAGGAGTACTGGACAACCAGGTGTTTCATCCGAGTTTTGGAATCCTCGGCAGTACTCACCCGCCACAACGGTTCGAAGTCAGGACCTTCTGGTTACAAGGCAAGCTCGTATACCATTCAGCCACTGGGACTCAATCCAATGGCCAGCCCATGAATTCTAACTTCTACAAATTCGTAATTTGCGCGACCACCAACCAATGTTATCGGTGGGACATCCATCCTCACACTTCATTGAATGGACCTCACTGATCACGACTTCTCAATAGAACTGCAGGAAACTCCATCCTGTAGCAAGTCATGAGCGAGTATCAGATTAATTTAGTTGGTTTGTAAGGGTTAGTTTTGTTTTTACGAGTTGATCATGGATTGATATCAGTTAGAGAACCGTTCATAATTATATCAATTATAATCACACAACTTCGAAACTTGACTATTATAGTTCTCCTAATTCTTGACTATTTGAGATCTTAGAAAATGAGAAGACGTTCAGCGAAGAGACTCTTTTCGGCGAATTCATTCGCATAGCTGTACAATAGCATTTACATATAATTATTTGTGTGTGTGTACATGAGGTTTGTCGAAATTAGATAATTGATCAAGTAATAAAAGAGTGATCTAATATAGAAACAAGGTTAATTGGACAGCAACTAAAGTAAGATTGAGTTAGTAAATTAGATGACATAATATAATTGACTAAAATGTTTTAACTTAGGTCAGGGTAGCAACAGAGGTAATTACAAGTAGAGACTAAATAGAAGTGGGGTAGATAATAATGCCATTTAAATTAGAACTGAAATTGAGCAATTAAGTTGGATGACGCAACATAAATGACTAGATATTGAGTGTTGGTCAGGTCAATTAAAGTGGTAGTGAGGTGTAGAAGTTAAATCGGGTGGGGTTAGAGAACAAGAAAGCTAAAAATGCAAAATATTACAATTAAGAAGACAGAATAATACCAATGAAGATACAGAAAAAAAAGGAAAAGAAAGATTAGGTAGAATTTACTTTTCAGGTAATAAGATAGATTAAGTCCATTGTAAGTGTAGTGATTGAACGAACTTCTTCTGTATGCAGAGTTCAGGGCTCAGCATTATATATAAATGCGATTGTACAGCTATGTGAATGAATTCGCCGAAAAGAGTCTCTTCGCTGAACGTCTTTTCTTTTTCATATGACTAAATGGGGATTTTCAAGCTAATCTTAGAAAATAACCATTAGGAAATAAAAAATAAGAGAACACAAAGTTCAACAAAATATATCTTTGCGGCGATTTCATTTTCACAAGCTATACAGTCGCATTTAAATACATAATTTTACATAGATACAATTTTTACTTGATTCCACATAGTTATGAAGGTGAATAAAAGGTGACAATTATTTTCAACTTGACATGAATTACTAGAGGCTTGGAGATAAAATTAGAAAGGATTAGAACGGATAACAGTTGTGAACAAAATGAGCATGGAAACAAATTGAAATAATAATTTTAAACTTGAAATGGAAGTTAGAAGGTGTGAATATAGATTAGAAGAGGCTTAGATACAAAATTACACAGAATTAGAATATAACTGTAAAATAAGTATTTTAGACGAATTACAAATGTGTGCAGGAAGAGCATGGAAACAAACTTAAAATAACTTTATATAGCTGAAAAAATGTGAAGAACTGAATGAAGACAGAGACAGATAAATTACACACACACACAGAACAAAAACCGAAGGCCAAGGGAAAAAACCGAACTAGGCCCATGGTAGTTGTAAAGACTGGACTAGTTTCTTTTGAACACACTTCTCCGGCTTATCAGTGTATATTGTGAGGGCTTCTGCAGTACAGAGAAGTCGAAAACATACTGCCTTTGGTAGGTTCCTGTTTACTCTATAAATGACTTTGAATGAATCAGTTGAGATGCTGTGGGAGCAGTTGATCGGATGTTCAATTATGGCACTTCTAATTGAACAGGTGTCTCATTTATGCAGCCATGTTGCGTAGTGTTCTCTAACACTTTACTAAAGAACGCGCATCCAAAGACCTATATACCTAGCTCCACACGAGCAGGTGAACTGGTATATGTACACTGAATTAGTCATATGCGAGAATTTGTCCTTAGCATTGTTTAGAAGTTTCGGGAGGCTAGAGAATGTCACACTTAGTGTTGCTGCAGGGAAGGTCTTCTTTAGACAGCTGGATATTATTCTCTTTAGGATATCAGTTGCCAAAGCTCCCCTGAAGTTCAGATTCATTTAAAGGGTTTTCTTCGTCACTGAACTGCATCCTTCTCTTCCTGGTTTTGGTTTCATGTTCTTGTCGATAAAACACTTTGAGCCAGGATATTTTTGAGCAATAAAAGCTCCTTTTCCAAGCAGTTACCGATGCGGATTTTTCTAATGCGAAGGTTTAGTGCGATGATGAGAGCTCGTTTTCGGCACAGAGGAATCCAACTATAAAAGTTCGGTAGTTGGCCATCCCACGTTGCATTTCTGTGGATGGGTCTTCTCAGAGTTCCATCATCCCTTCTTGTTAACTCCACGTCTAGGAATGGATTCCTCGAATTTTTTTCTAATTCCCTTGTGAATGTAATCGAAGAATGGGAATTATTAAATTCTTGTAATACATAATTGAATTCGGAGTTATCGTAGGAGACTATAAAGGTATCGTCGACGTACTTTTTACAGTAGCAGTTTTTTTTTATTGTCGACTTTAAAACGCCGCTTTCCAAACTAGCAGTAAAGCAATCTGCTAAAAGACGGCCAACAGGAAATCCTATCGCGATTCCATCTTTCTTTTGGCAGATGTCGCCGTTGAAGGTAAATTGTACATTCGGCGTGCACCTCGGCAACAATTCTTTCAGATATGATGTTGGTATTCCGATGCTTATATTTGAGTTCTCCACACAGTTGCACAGCAAGCAAATTGTTTCTGTTGGTGGTACGTTGGTAAAGAGAGATTCGACGTCTTGTGATAACATTCGTTTAGCATTTACATTCATATCTTTTATGCATTCAACGAAGTCAAAAGTATCACGAAATGAGTACTTGTATAGGTGTTGTCTAACAGTCTTTACTATTTGTCGTAGGAGTAGTAGAATTTTCCAGATTTCCGACTGGACAAGTGTTGAATCATTTCTATTACACGTGTTTGTAGTTGATTCGATAAATCAAGCTTCCGCTATCAACCTCTCCCTCCGCCCTGTTACGTTAGATTTTAAAACTGTCATCTTATCCCATCAACCTATTGTATGGTTGTGTGTAATTGCATATAGTGGTAAAGCTGAACTATTCTCCAGATTCATTCCTTACTGAGGCTAAATAATTTAGATTTCGCTAGGTTTTTGTGCTCCACTAGTCTGACTGACCCCGTACCACTACTTTGGCCTGTGTATTTGACCTGATAGTCATTCCATCGTATACGATAAACTAAATTGTTTATGTTTAATTGGCTCCGCAGGATCATTTAACCGACAAGGCTTATTCCTAACTGAGTTTGTGGGTTTGAATGCCATCCACTTTTATTCTTGCATTGTTAAGAATTCTGCGTAAGGTTTATGAGGTTCCTTCTTTGTATAGAAGTACTATTGATGATTTAGATTCCCTACTGTTGGTGTTGTCATTATCCTGGGCATGTTTGAAATGCATGTCATTATTATTATCACTACTATCATTACGAATACTATTTTAACATTTTCCTACATACTTCCTGATTAATTTATCCGGGTAATTTTTGAGTTTCAAAGCTTCTCTTATGTGCCTCACTTCCTGTCTTAGGTTTTCCGAGGTAGTGCATTTATTTTTTGTTCCCCATTACTCAAACATTTCACCAATCCTATTTCTACTTGGATAAGTTGGGATGATCAGAAATCCAAATATCGGTTTGAATATGTGGGTTTCCTGTGAACACCAGTGTTTAACTTCCCATCTTCTCTCCTTGTTACGCTAAAATCTCACATTGGAAGCTCCATTTCTTAACTTGTCTCAAAAATCTGGAAAACTCTACTCTCCCTTCGACAAATAGCAAAGTGTAAAGAAGATCATAAAACGAAAGTTTAGAAGTTGTGTAATTATAAGTGATATGATTATGAACAATAAATTGTGCTCGAAACCTTGTCATCCGGCAGTACGTAGACAATTTAAAATAAAATTCGAAACATATGACAATAAATTGATGAATATATTTATATATATATACTCCCTAAAATGAAATTTGATGTGGACTTAAATCTGTCAGTCCTATAACAAATTCCCAGATAATCCTACGAGCTGTGTCCAGTCGTCTCTTCATATCCTTATCAAGATGGGAACTGGAAGCTTCGTTTGTCGGTTCGAAGATTTGTGATTTTAATTTCAGTGTCGGTAAATTTAATACACATTTCCAGACAAAATAAATAATCTTACATTGTCGTTTGACCAAGATTCTGAATAGTTGAAATCTACTATCACTTATTCTTGCAGTCACTACCTTAACACAAAGAAGAACTCATGGAAAATTCCCATTTTAACATATAGAAAATCAAAACAAGTGATTCAGCGAAGAAACTTTTCAACGAATTCATCATCAAGCTGCACAATCGTATATACATGGTTTTTACGTAGTTATATCCGGTGAGAAAATTTAATCATAGGTGAATGCATAAAATAATAATAATAGTATGAA